AGTCAGCACCATGAATGAAAACTACCTTCACTAGTCATTTGACCAATGGAAATACTGTGTATATACATAGGATAATAGGTTACAACCTTGTAACTTTGGCAACTGATGGTGGGCCAAATCAAATGGCTTGGCGGGCCAAATTTGGCCCGCGGGCCCCACTTTGGGCTCCTCTGGTCTACAGGATTGTTGATGTTCCTGAGAGTTTAAAAACATTATGTCCAGTGGTTTGTGAGTTATTTTGCTAACAAAAACAGGGTTTACTTTTAGGCAAGGATCTCAGGCAGTAAATAATATTTAAAGTATGTGTTGTGAATGACTCAACTACCACCACCACATCAAATTTTAGGTCAGTATTTGTCAAATTGGCTGAGTTACAGCTTTGTTGATGTTAGGTTGCTTAGCTATGGCGGCCATTTTGAACTGGATTGACTCAAAAAGTAATATAGGGGTTCAAACTCCCTAAAAATCTCTGTGTCATTGTAAGAAATTTTGCTAACTGTGACAATTTAAAGTATTTTCTTCTTTAAAGGATAAGCTACTCAGGACGTTGTGGTAGAAAACATTTGAAGGGGTTAGCACTCAAACGCATCATTTTAGCCAAAAAAAAAAAAAGTAAACAACGAAGCTATATAAATCATGCTAGCAGCATGTCGACGGCGATGTTTTATTGAGGATGCTGACTTGAACTTGTACGAGTGCGAACAAAAAAAGATGCAAATGTTTTGTTTAAAGCAAATATTAACAGATAAGTGTCACTTTTAAAGCAGTCTGCTTCAGGTACAGTTCTCTACACTTTAACACGCGTTGCTTTTTTTTTTTTTAATTTTTACGTAGAACCTTCTAGCTCGTGCGTCACGTAAATCCCCCAAACGCAAACATTTGTTATTAAAGCGAGGACATTCGACGTCTAAATCTACRTTTTGGTAAGAAAACTGTCGAGTTTTGTTACGAAACCGTGTTTTTTTAAGCTAACAAGACCCCCCTTTTCTCCCTGAAAAGCGCTGCTGCAAAAGTTCTSATAGCAGCTGAGTCGCGTTACACAAACAGATGCTAATCTAAACACACTTACCTTTTTATCAGTAGCTAGCAAACCGGTCCAGTCAAGAAATGAGTGGCTGTGTAAGAGATGTTTTCTTTCCCTTTTTATTAACAGATGTCAATTTTTGTAACAACGAAGGTCCTCGTAGCCAAGCTGGGTTGTGTTGACTGTTTTCAGGAGGAGGTCCTCAATCTCCACCCACAGAACACACGGAGGCACTGGAGCTACMCATCTTATAAACATGTTTACAAACAGGTAAATTATAATACAGATTCTTAATCTTATGGTTCACTGTCTATCTGCATGAGTTTACATTCTAACACTGTTTCATGTCAAGACAAAACTAAAGAGGAGGCCTTAAAACAGCTGTTTCAGCTCATGTTAAAATTAACAGCCAACGAACACTTTGTGGAATTTAGAAAAACAAAACAACAATGTTCAGTAATTTTATTTCAGACGATCAACAATATGTTTTCAGTAATGCTTGCAGGATGGATGATAATAAGTAAAGGGGTCCCCAATAGGCGACGCGGGACAGTACAGTAGTAGAGAATGAATTCAAGCGCTAAACAACGCCTTAGCACCGCCCCGCTCGTTAAGGCGGAAATGACGTAGAACTAAACACCAAAGATCGTCTACGAACACCAGATGTGTTGTGTCAAACTTTAAAAACACATTTTTTTTCTTGTAATGGCTGTATTTCACAAACAAAATTTAGATGCTTCAAAACTCGACTCCTAAATTTACTGAAGCAAGGACTTAAGTAATAACTGTCAACAATTTGTATTATATTTGTGTTAAAATATTTGTATGAAACATTGAATGTTTATGAACACAGTTACACTTTTAGTTTACACAGGATGGTCAGTATATAATTATTCATGGATAAACTAATTAATGAACATTGGTTTGATCACTGTTTTATTCAGTTCACTAAAACATTCTTTTCATATTATTTTGTTATAATTGTTAAATAAATTATTATTTGAAAGTAAAACAG